AGAGATTCTTGGGGATCAGGACAGTGCTGTGGAGTTGCTGAATGATTTCCTGAATTTTAGGAACTAGAGCCTATCTATATAGGCCTTGGAGACCTTTCTGCCTGTACAAAGATTGGAGATGCTAATTTGTATGCTGGTGAGAGGGACTGCACTATGAACCCTGATGACTGATGGTCTCTGTAAGGAGGGTAGCACAGACGGTTACAGAACCAACCTTGTTTTTACATTGCTTTATTTTCCCAGCCCTTATGTGAGAGGTGTGGAGAAGGGACAAAAGTTATTTTTGCCTTGCTAAGGCATCTTTAAATTTTCTGGTTAACCGGTTATGGTGTTGTCTGTTGCGCTGATGGTGAGGTGGGCACTGGCCTGCTGAGAACCAAGCTAAAAATCTTCTTGTGAAAGGTAAAGTATGTACTGTATAATACTCATCGGTTGTTGAGAGCTTGTCTTCATTGCTAAAAATGGTATGGATAATCCAGGGTCTGTGGGTATCCTCCAGGAAATCTTCAGTTTTAGTCAAGTCAAGGGGCCTCATCTTCATAGGATTAATAACATCAGTTGCTCTGAAATATAAAATATAGCTGCTATTGCTATGATTGCTGGAATTTTTTTTCCCCTTCTACCATGTAGTCCTTTTTAAAGGTTTAACAAACTCCTAATGGATAAAAGTGGTTCCTTTTTTGGGAGGGGAAGAGAAAGGACAAAATATCCATTTACGGTTAGAAAAATTGTTCAGGTCTTCTGAAAAGAAAACAGCAGTGTCCAAGAAAGCTGAGTAAGTCTGCATCCTATTGGGTGAGCGATGACTGTATGACTTCCCAGTAAAGGCTTTCTGAACAATTTGCAAAACAGATTCTCAGTACCCTCTCCGCTAGGTACATCAGATAGATCCTTTTTCAGGAAGGAGAAGGAGACATGAACAGGTGAATTTTGTGTGTGGTCCTGGAGAAGCTTGTGTCAGAGGTCAGGATAAAGCATGGATCTCTCCTGATTTCCTCTTCTTGTTTTGCCGCAGTTCAGCAGCTCTTGGGACTAGCAGGGGATTGCAGAGAACAGGAAGCCAAGAAGTGCCTAGCACAGCAATCCAGTTGTTCCAAGAATGAAACCGTGATAAGACAAAGGAGCAATTTCCAGGAAGGTGTTTGTAGATCTTATTTGGTAAAGGGTGGAGGGGCACAGGTGAGACCTGGTATGTAAGAACTAGTAGGACTCTTGCCTCGAATGCTAAGGAGCAATGTTGAGAGTCTTTTCCTTGAAGCTTGAACCTTTGGGAATACAAAGGAGATAGAAGTGAAGCCCAGTGTGGTTGTGTCCTGGGCTAAGCAGGCACGCTGGAGCCACAGGCCTGCACTTTGGCCACAAGCAGGGCAAATTAAATGTGCTGCAGAGACAAACAGGCTTCTGCCCTCCGGGAGCGATCTCTGTGAGCAGCTGTGTTTGGTGCAGTTGCCTTTTCTGTGCAGCTACAGGCTTGTTTCCCTTGTGCAGAGGAGGGGGAGGCATGCACTTCAATGAAGATCAGAGCTTGAAGCCTCTAAGCCAGCTGACAGTTGTGCTCCCTGTTACTGAGTCTCGGATCAGCCGGCAGTGCCGAGGAGGAGATCAGACCTGGCTCACTGTGCCGAGGGGCTGGGGATAGGCCAAGTCTGAACAAAGTTGAGTTCTGGCAAGTTTAGTCCTGTGTCAGAGGCTGCCTGTGCTGTGTGGGTGTTAGGAAGGCTTAATGTTCCTAATGGCCTCCTAAGTTTCCTCCTAAGCTCTTTCAGTCCTTGATTTGCTCTCTGGGACAGCACAACTTGTGTCTGTCTTCAGTCCATTGACCCAACCCCTGAATGTCCTCATTCCTGACAGTGCCCTGAGCCAGTGGGGCACATCTGTAATCTCTTGGTGAGTCTTCCCACTGGCTCCCGGTGATGTCCCAGCACAAAGAGTGGACTTGGCACAGATGCCTGTAGCTGATCCTGACCCCGGCTATTTCAGGTCCCAGTGGAGGGCACTGTTTGACACGGGGGAAGTTTGGCCAGGCGTGGTTGAAAGTTACTTGTTTGTAAGCTAAATAGCATGTCTGAGTCTAGTAGATAACTCTGTTTGAAACATAAGCATTCTTCCTGTCCCAAAAATCCACCAGCTGGATGGAGGAGGAGGGAGTTTGTGGAAGTTTTGTGGGGCTGGATGGCATAAGTTGATTTTTATCCCAACTATCAGATATGGCACCTGAAATGTACTTGTTCTGTGATCTTGAGCCTGGCCAGTGAGTGGGTTTTCCAAAATGAGTCCATCAGCATCCTAGAAACATGGAGATACGACAGCAAAAGCATGCAGAAAGCACAAGGAGTTTTTGCTAGAGAGCGGCCCAGGCAACATGTCTGAGCTCGTGCCTGCGTTACAGGGCTCCTGGGTTGTTCTGCTCTGTATGCTGACGTGATTGGATGTGGTTTATGGGCAGCATAGTCCTCACCTTTCTAAGTCCTTGCTTTCTACACCTGTAGAGTAATAGACGCTTTCCAGGGACTATGAAGACATCAAGCACTGCAGAATCCTTCTGTAGGGTAGCAGTTGGCTCTAGTGATGGCTCTGTCTTGCTGCTGTTCAGTCATCAGGGAGGCATAAATGGTAACCTCTCCAGATCATTGTCCTGGGACAAGGGGTCATGGTGGTGCTAATTGATTCCTATTGATATAATCTTTCCTATAAGGAAACAGTAAATGCAACGGGCTAAATTTGACTATATCCATATTTCCATGTTTTGCATTCTTGTACTGCCATGGAGGCACACTAAAATTCAATTCAGGCAGATGTCAAACTCAAAAGAGGAATTTATTTTTAACCAGTGATAAAACAAGAATGGAATGTGTTCTTAATCAAAATCACTTTACATTCCAACAAACATTAAACCACAGGTTCAGAATACCATATGCAATTTAATCGCTACATGGCTCAGGGGATCCCCAAACTGTGGAATCATGATTCAAAATGTGCAATCACTCACCTGTAAGGTGAGGGCTCTCAACCTGCAGGACTTACCCTGGCAGGCACCCCAGCCCACGGGGAGAGTCCCCGACTCCAGACCCGCTGCTCTGAGGAGGACCACTCAAAGTGGTCCCCTGTCAGGGCTCCATTTATACCCTAGGTTGAATCTGATCTGTGGTCATATATGGTCAGTGGTCTAGAAACTTCTCTTGACTGAGGTGTTTCATCAGCTAAGGGCCCTGTCTGTCGAACGAGGGGCTCCATCTTTCCTGTCCCACGACTGAGGTGTGTACATGACTCACCATGCATGGTTCACCAGTCGAGGAGTTTCTGATATCGTCGATGCGGGGTCAGGGAGCGCACCAGCCACACCATCTTCTCTCGTAGTGTGATGAGGGCAGTGGCTCTATAGAGGCTGTATTGGTGTTAGCATGAATCACCACTGTGGGTAGGATTTTTTTTTTTTATGCTGCTAGTCTGTATTGGTCATTTAGCACTGTTCTGGTACTGTCACCGCTTTCCTGTCTCGGGGAAAATGGTACAGCCTGCAAAAAGATTGGAAATCTCTGTTTCAAGCAAGGATGAGAATGGCTGCATGGCCACCTGGCATCTTCCTTTCTTGGGTGCTTTCTCAGTCCTTCCATCTATTGTAGGCTCTTGTGTGTGCCTTGTCACTGTCCACAACAACAAACATAGGCTTAAACCAGGAAATTGCAAAAACGAAGGTGTTGCTAAACAAAAAATTGCTTTTACCCCAAAAGGGTGAGTGGGCAGAACCTTCAGAGCAAGCAAGAGCTGAGCTTGAGCATGGCTCTTTTTCTGATGTCCAAGAAGGCTGCAAGTGCTGGGAAGGGCCAGGGGAACACGGTGCTTAGGAACCAAATGGTGACTGAAACGCAGCCACAAACAATGAAGCACGAAGCGGGGAGAAGAGTGCCTTTTGTAGGCTCCTCTTGTGTTTAGAGTGCTCACGAATGTGCTGAGTGCACTTTGGCTCCCACTTTATGAAGAGTGTGTTCCTAAGCACCAAAGCAGCTATTTCTTCTCTCTCCCATTTGAGGGTAGCACTGAAGGTCTGTGCCACTGTCAGTCCGACTTACCAGTGTGGCAAAGCCTGTGCTGCTACAGCTCCTTGTTGCTATCCTGAAGAAATAGCTGTGGAGTTAAAAGCCCTAATGTCCTCAGTAGAGTGTGTGCTGCCACTGCAGAAGCTCCTCAGCTGGACATGTGGGGCTCTTGGCACAGTAAAGGCCAGAGCTGCAGCGGTTTCTTCTTGCAGCCCTTCAGAGCCACTCATTTTATCCAGGGGCACTTGACAAGCCCTGTCACACAACCTCAACATTTAGGATACGTGTCATCAGCTCTTCCTTTGCTCTCAACCTTGATGTTTTTCTAGGTTCTCCTAGTGGTCATAGGGTAAGCCTTGTCTTGGGACAGGGCTCATTAGGAAACAATGTCATAAAGTGGTGGAGTCAGATTAATATCTCACTCATTAGGAGTGGACAGGTTTCAGTCTTGGCCCTTGCACTTGTCTGGCTGTGAAATAAATTGGTTCAACTCGTTAACCCAGCAAAGAGTTGTGGTGGGTTTTGATGGTCTTGTTTTCTGCCATTTTTAATGAGCAAAATTGGATTACCAGATGATCAGACCAGCACTAGAGCAGGTGTGAGCTAAGGAGTGAGATATGTGGACAGGAACATACATGCATGGGGGAGAACAGGTGAAGCAAGACCTCCACTTTGATGGATGCAGCTATTCGTTCTGCTCAATTCTATTGTAAAACCTTGCCTTGAATATCCTGACAGTTGTGAGTGCAGTGGGGAGACCTCTGTTATGGCTTAATTGCAATGGGTAGCTGGCTTTTCTTTCTTAATTGTTTGGTGGTAAAGAAGATTTTTACCTTGGTTGTGAAATTGGATTAGGCTCAGTGGAGCCCTTACTGAGCATCAGGGGGCTGAGCTGTGAAGTGGTGGTGGCAGTGTTGTGGTTCCATGTCACACCTCTGTGTGTCCCTTCTCTCTCCTGCTCAGCTCGGCATCGCTGTGGGCTTTCTGGTCCCTCCAGTCCTGGTTCCCAATGTGGAGGATGTGGAGAAGCTGGCCTACCATATCAGCATCATGTTCTTCATGACTGCAGGCGTGGCAACAGCCCTATTCATCCTGGTCATCATAGGTAAGGAGGTGGGAGCGTGCACATGAAACAAGGTGGGACTGAGAAGATCAGCCTGTGTGTATGAGGGGCCTTTGTGCTAGGAAATGGGGGAGGGAGGTCATCTGAGGAGGTGTCCTAGCATGCAGCTGACCGGATCATGCAATACCATATCTTGCTGCTTCAAGCCCTTCATGAACAGCACATGTAGGAGGGAGTACAAGAGGTTGTGAGTAAGCCTGCCAAATTGTTCATTTCATCCTTTGCCTGCGTAATAAAACCCTGGCATGACTAAGATCTTTAAAAGCCAACAGAAATCTTCCAAGGTTCACAGTCATCTTGTCTGCAAACAGCGTGCTAGGCCTTGGGTTATGTCTTGGACCTGACTACCTCTTAAGAGTAGGGAAAAAGAGGCAGGTTATATGGCATCATAGGAACAAGCTGTTCCCAAGAGAAAAAAAGGTAACCAGTAAGGAGTGGAGAGAAGGAAGCATTAAGGGCAGTAGCAGGACATCAGAGGTGTAATTTCCCTGCTTAACATGTGAAGTGGAAGCCAGACCTTTAGCATGAAATATTGGCATGCTCACTGGAGAGCAGAGCTTGTCTGCTGAGCTCCATGTAATTTTTTTTATAGGCTCCTCTTGCCAGCTTGTTAATGTTGCCTGGTGGCTGAATCAGATGTAGACTCTAAAGAATCTGGGGCAGGGAATAGACAAGGTCCAAAAATGGCTGTCTAGCACCTGGTACAGCAGTATCGTCTGCAACTGGGATTTCTGGATGCTACTTTAATGCTAGTTAGGGACAGCAGATGGCTTGGCCAGCCTAAGAAGTGCCAAGCCTGAAATAAAACCTGGCATAGGTCATTGCTCCCTGGGCACTGAGCACTGCAGGGCATGAGGCCACCTTTGCCAGCTGGCTTTTCCAATTCCACTTCTGCATTTGTAACTCCACGCAATACTTTTGCAGCTGGCTGGCCATCCTCCTGGAGACAAAGGCATTATTAGTCCCTAGAACTCTTGCTGCTGCCAGATACTGCCTGCACAAAAAGCTAATTGAAGGCAAGGTGTTTCCCCAGTGTCAGGAGTTATTGTTGGAGAGACCCTGTTCTCGGATAAGTTCATGCACAGAGATCAAAACTTGAGGACAATGGTGTGTTTTCTACACTTGGTTTTACTAGCCCCTCTGCCGTCCCTCAAATGGCTCTACTCACAGTGTGTGCTCAGGCTCCCTGATGGCACTGTTACAAACAGGTGTATTTTGTGTCTGGTTTCAGTCTTCAAGGAGAAGCCCCCGCACCCTCCGAGCCGAGCTCAGGCCTTGATCCAGTCAAGACCGACAGAGGAGTATTCCTATGTGCAATCAATCCTCCGCCTGCTCCGCAATGCTAACTTTTTGCTGCTTATGGTCACTTACGGTAAGGTCTGGCCTTTCTTCTGTGCAGTTATTGCTGCTAGGCATGCTTAACTTCTCCCTCCCTCTCCGTGCTCTGCCAGGGCAGTCACTGGCCTGAGTTGTTTTAGGGGAGCACAAGGATAGCTGTGCTGCTACAGGCCAGGAGTCCCTCTGGCCCGGTAATCTCCAGCAGTGGTTACAAGCAAATACCTAGAAAGAACAAAAGCAAGGCAAGCACAAAAAGGACTATATGCCCCCACTACTGTTCTCCCAGTCTTTGACTGTTTTCCATTCGGGGGATTTCCTTATCCTGTTGTCTTTTTTCTCGTCAGTTAGTTACTTGCAATGTAGTCATTTAAGTGCTTACCTAGGAAATATATGGAGCTGTGTCTGAGTGAAAGTAATTTCCCAAGGCAAGGGTATGGCTGCCAGGCATCTCAGTGGAGGTCATGTGGAGTATGCAGAAGCACAGACTACGTCAGCTTTCTTGGCAGTCCCTATGAAGTAAATGGAAGGAAGGATTGGAGAACATCTTTTTTCGCTATCTGTCCTTGCACACTGGGTTTGCTGCTTGCTTCTCTTCAGCAGTCTTGGTCTGTTCCTCTGAGTGCAGTGTGATGTGTTGAATCTATTCCTGATGTTGAATTGTCATGTGGAAAAGCACTTTTCTCTTTAGCAGAAAGGCCATTGTGGTCTCTGCCTGGCTGCGTTATACTGTAGCCAGCTGGTCTGCAGAGAGTTCTGTCCTCGCTTCCTACCAGCTTCCTGTGGAAACTCCTCAGGGGCAAAGTTAAATAGTGCTGGAAGTTCTAACGTTCTGCCAGCAGTTGTGCCTAAAGGATCTGGTGGATGAGTAGCCAGGTTGGAGAGAGTGAGATGGTGGCTTTGCACCTGCTGAGGATGCTAATGGTCTTTGGAGTTGTTGAAATCTCTGCTCTCAGTGCAGTAGTCTTCTAGAAATGCCCCTCTTGGATCGCCCTTAAGCTCTGCTGGTTTGCATTGCAGCTGCTGTGGGTTTTTTTTTGTTGTTTCCCCACCTCCCCCAGTACATGATGTCCTCTCAGAAAGTGGGAATAGAAAAAAAAACTGTCAGGCAGACTGTGTCTGAAAGTTGGATTGTGTCATCTGCTCAGTTCACAGCCTTCAGGGAAAAGAAAGGCAAAAGCATTTGTTCTAATAAGCGTGAAAAAGTCCTAGAGGAGAGAGCAGGGCTCTCAATACGAAGAGTGTATTTAGAATCTGACCTCCTTAGGATAATTCCCTTCTCCTTAGGATAATTCCCTTCTGGCAGTCACAAACAAGGTGGAAAGGCTGTTCAGTCTCTCATAATTCAGTCTCTCTTCCTGCTGGTCTCTGCATTTATTTCGTTCCTCTCTGTGTCAGCCTCATGTCAATCTCCAGCTTGACTTGAGATCGTGACTGTTACTCAGAGAGGGAACTATGCAGTGAAACTTTTTTTAACTAGTCTGGCTTTAAAATGGGGACAGTTTTTCCTACTCAAGTCAAAAGTCATGTTGGCCAAGACTTAAGGCATCTGCAGCCACGAGTGCAACTGAGTCATCCTCCGTAGCTAACACAAAGATAGCTCCAGCCTCTTAGCTTTTTTATTAGCATAGTGTATGTCAGGGGAGAGAGGGGGAAACCTGCTGCTTGTTCATCTCCCCTGGCTGTAGAAAGAATTGAGACCCTTACATGATGCCAGGTCAGAACAGGTCATGGTACTACCAGCAGCTGCCATCTTCTTTCCAGTGGTGAGACTTACAGTGCTGGAAACATTGGTGGCCCTGCAGCTGTGTTAGTGCTAGTGAACTGTTTTTCAGGAAAACCCTCAGACAGCCTTTTCCCAAAGGCTGCTGACGTTGCTTCCTTAAAGCTGAGGCATAACATGGAATAGGCATTAAGAAACTCTTGAGTTTATTGGGTTGGGCTCTGCACTGGAGAGCATGTTCCCACTGGGAGGCAGTAGGCAGGAAAAGGGTGGGAAAGGCTGGTAAAGTGGGAGTGATGAGACAGCCACAGAGAATTGGCATTTGGAAAGGTGATGGAGCAGTGAGGAGGAGGCAGGGCAGTGAAATCTGCATAAGGAGACATTGTCCTGGAGGATGACGAGGGTGAAGAAGAGGGAGACCAATAGTCTGGCATGTAGGCAATAGGCTACTTAGCTATAGAAGATTTGGTTTCTAGTCTGAAGCTTAATAAAGGCTCATTTTGGAGCTGTAGGCAATAAACTTCCCCTTTCTGGCCTCTCTAAAACAGAGGAGACAGTGTGAGGTCTCAAAAATGTCCTTCTACAGCACATTACAAGCAAACCATGGTAACTAGCTCATGAATCAGGTGGGGCTGGACCTTCAGATGTTCTGCTCCCAGCTACTAGTTCTGGTTTTCCTGATCTGCATGGGCAGATGGGCACTGCCCCATTGGAAACAACCGTTGCCTGTTTTAGGAACATTCAAACAACTGTAATTCACGGAGAAACTTCACTGAGCAACTGTGACATGTGAAATGCCTACAACTTTTGCCAGCCCTCACAAATGCAAATTTGGCACATTGTCTTGATTCTTAGAATATTTTGCCTGACTCTGGTGCCAAGTGTTGCTGCCAACTCTGCATCGCTTTCTGCCCAGCTTGGAAGCGTGGGCCCTTCTCTCTCTTAGAAATTGTGTGTATCACAGAGCTGCTGTGAAGCTGGTGTAGTGACAGCATCAGCTACCGGAGCAGCATCTGGCTGTCCCCACAAAGCTGCCGTCCTCTTGGCTGGGCAAGAAGTAGAGATACACAAATGACTAGCCTATGTTTATGCCCGGCTTTGAAGTGAAGCAGTAGTGGGTAGAGGGACGGTGCTGATCTGCCATGCTCCCATGTTCTGACGCTCCAGTTTGTGGTGTCTCTTAGTGAGCAGGGTGCTCCAGAGGTGGAGATAGGATGAAGTCGAATCAGGGTCTTGTGGGCGGTTTTGCCCTAGCCAAGTGTTGCAAAGAGCCAGCTTTCAGGGCTGGAGGGTGCCTCCTTGCCGTGGGATCTCCAGTTGTTCTCCCCGCTCTCTGGCTACTGGCCCTGCTGGAGTTTCCAGCCTTTCTGAGTAACTCTTGGAAAGGACTGGGTAGATTCCTCCTGCCTATAGAGTATGTCACTCAGCTTACTAGCCTCTCCTGTAACCTCCTGACACAAGCTTTTGGAGCAGGGAGCATTGTCACAGGCAATTGGCTTATTTGGGATCACTTGCATAAGATTCTTCATCTGTTCCCTGTGCCATGAAGCTGTGGAGCAAGCTCTGCTTAACGTTGCAGAGATAGCGTGTGAAGGAAGTGTGATGTCCCCTCCAGCTGCCAATTTTGTGGCTCCTCAGAGTGCTTCATGAGCTGTGTAGGGCAACAGGTGACCAGTGTCCCAGTGGAGGAGTGGGCTAGGCGCAGGGTTGCCGAGTACTTCAGGGTCAGGGGAGCTGGAGGACTTCAGGATTAGGGGAGCTCAGGGTTGTGCTCCCTTTGCCAAAGCTCTGCCTGCTAGACTGCACTTCTGTATCATGTATTGCGATGTTTCTTCTTTTAGCTGAGGATGAAAGAGGGAAAGTAGGAAGTGGGAACTTGACATGTATCTATTCCATCAGGATTTCAGGCATCTGTGCCAGAGTTTTTTTAACCCATGCCTCTTTATGAAGCCTATAGATGTGTAAGCAGCAGTGGTGAAATCTGTGTCCCCACCCCTCCCCCATCAGGATCACTGAAGCCTTGAAGAGAAACTAACTGCAAATGTAAATGACTTTCTGAGAAGAAAGTTGCGCTGACTGTTACAGACCTCATCCACCTGGGGAAGGTTTCTCAGTATCGCCTAAGGTGAGAGTGTAGCCATTGCGGTACTGCTGGTCCAGCGCCCATGTGGATGTTCTTGTCTACTATAAGCAAAGCTCTTGGTTTTTGTGCCCTTTGGGAAGGCGTTTAACTCAACCAGAGCTACATGTAAGCTGGAGCAGAGTGTCTGAATGGGGTTTGACCAGTATCACCCCAATGGTTTCCATTCTCACCTTGGGTGATACTGAGAAACCTTCACCAGGTGGCTGATGCCTGTAACAGTTAATCTAACTTCCCTTTCAGAAAGACAATTACTTTCACAGTTGGGTTTTTTTCAGGCTTCAGTGATATCTTTTAAGATGCAAGACTCTTCCCATGCAGCTACGCACACCAGGTGCCTGGGGGAAGTGCTGTCTGTGCTTCACCATTGGCTCTGCTCCTACTTGCCTTCTGGTGTTTCTTGGCTTGGAGATGAAGTTTTTTGCTGGCTCTCAGCAGGGAGAGTGCTATCAGGCTGTTTTCTGGGAGGAAACCACACGGGTCAATGGCAGCGGTGTTAATTGAATCTCAGGTCCTTGTTAAAGGTGTGATGTGAGACAGGTGCTTTTCTGGTGTTTTACTTTGGCTGAGGGGAGGAGAAAACTCCAATGCTAAAGATGCACCTGTCTGTGAGGGAGGGTTGAGACCCTGCAAAGGACTTGTAAGACCTTTCAGTACCAGAAATGTGCACAGCCCTTCCTCTAGCTGCTAAGGTAAGAGCCATCCTGAAACTGCAGGGTGCTTCCTCCTGCAGGGCTGTCCTTGGTCTGCATTTCTTTCAGTAACCCATGTCTAGCCAGTACAGCTGGCTCTGCCAAGACTTGGCAGCCTTGTTATGTATCACTGCTCCAAAGATCTCTCTCTCTCTCTCTCTCTCTCTGTGCATTTCTACCCTTTCACTATCCAGCAGGAGAGTAGCAGGCTCTGAATGTGCTGCATTTTTATCCCCCTCTCAGGTCTGAATGCAGGTTGCTTATACGACCTGTCCACTCTGCTGAAACGCATGGTGATCCATCACTACCCAGTAAGTGCATCCAACCCTCGTGGCCCTCTGATGCTTGCTGTTGTCCAGCGCTGGCTGCCAAAGGAGAGTTTGTGAGAAAGGCAATGCCACAGCACTTCTGGCTGGCTCTGGCGTAAGTTGGCTGCCTGGCAGGAGCACATTAGTTCCTTTAGTTCTTTACACCACCCTGTGCAAAAGCTGGCAAGCTCTAGCAAAGACAGCTCTTTTACACCCTAAATGACAGCTTTTTCTTCTGAGAAATTCTTCCAGCAATTGCCTCCACCCTATTTCTGACAGAGATTTCTACCGAGACATCTGTTACCAGGAGGCTGCCTGTACTTGTGCTCTGGTGGCAGAAGGGTGGGATGCCTCTGCAGCTGAGCTACGGTGGAGCTTACTGCTGGGGCTCATAGTGGGTCCCAATATTTCCTGGGCGATCTGGCCCAAATCCTAACACCAGACAGCAAGGTTCATAGGGTTTATGCTGACTCCTCTGAGAGTGTCTGTTGTGCTGGCCAGTGCTCACCTTTTTCTCTGGACTGGCTCAGAGGGAAGTGCCAAACCACTTTTCTTCATGGGCTAGAATAAGGCACTGCATTGGCTCATAGTGGGCCCAAAAGTGTTATTGCAAAGTCTAGTTCTGGTTAGTGTGTTACCAGCAGAAGACATGAAGAATGCTAACTTTGGTGTCTCTTCCTCTCTGGGTTCTCTGAACTTTGCTTCTTGTTGGCTATGACTTGGCTCCTGCATTTGTGTGAGCCTGTATGTGTCTCACTACAGGGGGAGGAGGTGAATGCTGGCAGGATTGGACTCACCATTGTACTGTCGGGGATGGTTGGGGCTCTGATCTCCGGCATCTGGTTGGATAGAACCAAAACCTACAAGTAAGTCCCTTGTTTGCCTCTGTGCCCCTAGTCACTGTGCTCTTCCCCCGTACTGTGCAAGGAGCAACCCTGTGCAGTTGCAACTTGGCATTCCAGGGACTGACTCATAGGTGAAAAAAAACAACTATGGTCCTTGAAAATCAAGTTAGGCTGAAGTGAACTTTGGAGCTGTGTATTAGTCTACACTGGGCCCATACAAACTCTGGTTCTAGTGGTCCCTAGGGAGGCACAGGGAGAGGATGAGATGGCCCAGCAGCTGCTCTGTCAGGGATGAGGGAGTTCTTGGCACAAGCAGAATCAAGACTGTACCAGACCATTTCTCAGCCCTTACAAACCAGCTTCTGTGAATCTTTGTCCGGCTTAATGAAAGGCACATTGAATCCAGTGCCCAGAGACATTGTGTGAGGGCACGTTGCTGTATTTAGGGCAGGCATAAGGGATATTGGGGCTGTGGGTGGATGATTCTGGGGTTGCTGCCTGGTGGGTTGGGAAGGCAGATCTGACTGGCAGATCTGGCCAGCATACCCTGCTATCTGCAAAGGGATAGCTAAGAGTCTTTGGGTGTCCTGCAACTCCCAGTCCTCAGGAACTCAGCTCTCACTGACAGACCTCTGTAGGGTGTCCTAGGGGATGCAGAGTGCCTCTCCTGTCTTATGTTGGCGTCCGTGTAATCAGCTTTTCAGTTTCCCAGTTGGCTTTGAGAACTGTGCTATAACCTGTTGCCTGAGCACACTGGGTGAGAGGGGGCTTTACTGGTGGTGTGCTGGTGATGAGCTGAAGGCAGCTTCGGAGTTCTTTTCCTTGCAGCAGCTTTTCACCTGGGGGAGTCCCACAGCCTTTATCCTACCTGGTATCTTGGGCCAGAAAAGCACATTCTTATTGTGGGCAGCTTAGATGAATCTGGCTAGCTGTGGGCTTGCAGCTTCTGAAGTGGCCTCTGGCCCTAACTGTCAAGTACAGGGATCAAAAATGGAGAGGAAATGGGCTTCTCTAACAAGAAAGAATGGTGGTGGAGGACTCCTGGGGGTGCTGGGAAAGAGGAGCAGATGACTAATACAGAGACTGGCAGATCACTTGTTGCTGTTTCTAGATCATTGTGTGCCACTGAGTAGTTCTCATTTGGCAGTCCTGGGAAATAGAAACACAGCTGTTATGAATTGCACTAGCTAACTGTGCAAAATAACTTGTGTCTCTTTCCAGCCCGGGGCTAGTGGGGAGGTAGCCTCATCTGGCACGGCTAGGGAGGCTGGTCTTCCTGAGTCTCCCGAAGGGGAGCTCGGTTGCAGCACGAAGGCTGAAGAGCTTTGTGGCTCACCAGGCAGAACTGGGACTTGAAATTTGGCAGAATGGGAGAGGGAGGGGAAAAAAAAATAATTCCTGGATTTCTTCCCTGCTTGCTTAGAGGGACCACGTAGGTGGGCAGAGCTGGTTGAGAGTGCAGAAAAGTAGGGCTATGCCACCCATGGAATTTATCCTACAGACTCCAGGGTCTATCTGGGGATAGGTTTAGCCTTAGGTGAGGAAAAACACTGCTAAGAATTTGTTCTCCATTTCAGTCCACAAAGTGGATTTCTGTGGAACTAGCAAAATTTTTCTGAGTGCTACAGAGTCTTTATTTAGCCCCATTTAAAAGTCTATTTAAAAAAAACTGTCAAGATGCCAGATGTTCTAGGTAGGTACCCTCCCCCTTCCCTCTGCTGCTCAGATAGTGTCAGGAATGAAATGGTAAGCACATGAAAATCAGGAAGGAAAGTTGTCAAGTCCTTTTTTTAGTCAGTTTGGAGAGAGGGAAGCAAATGAATGGGATCCAGCTGTGATTGAGGGGAGCAGGGGGAGGTTAATAACAGAAGAATTGCAGAGCTGTACATGCGTGTGTGATCTTTACTGTCCCATCAGCAGTTCCTTGAAAGGGTGAGGCTGTGCTAAGTCAGGCTTTCCCCATCTGTCATGCTCAGGCACCAAATGGCCTTGCATTCTTGCTTTTATTTGGCAGGCAAGTCCCTGCAGCAGCCCCTGTGCTGTTCTTATTTTTGGAATTAGCAGGCGCGGATTTGGCCCATACCAATACGCGAGTTACGTTGCGACAAGTGAGCAGTCCCAGAACTGGGGCTGCCGCTGGTGGGATGCCTTGCTGAGAACTGCCCACCTCTTGGAAAGAATACGTTTTGACATCAAGTTATCGGGGCTTCATGTACATCCTTCAGGTTCCTGGCTCAGAGAAGAGATAGGGTTGTGACACCTAGAGACTACTGGGTGTATTGGTATTTGTATTGGAGTCTGGCTCAAAATCAGGGGTTTGGGGACTGGATTAATCAGCACTTCTCTTTGGCCACACTTTGCTTTTAAGGGCAATGTTCACATGGCCTCAGGTCCAGCTGATTCCAGACAGTGCTCTCCACTATCATTGCTGCATCTCTGTAAGGCAAGATGTCAGAAATATCCATCTGTCTCCAATGACTAGGCAGAAGAACCCAAGTGGTGTTTTAAACTTAGGTATGTACAGGCCCAAAGTGTGTTAAAATTTGGGGGAGGGAGGAAAGATTTGGATATTGGAGAATGGGGCACTCAGGTCTCTTCCACTGAAAAGTGAATGCTCTCTCAGCCTAGCCTGGCCTGCAGTTTGGGCCTTCTTGTTGTAGCCCTTTTCCAGGTTAGTCCTTGTGTAGTGGATATGCCTTTGCTCTGTCCTGCCATATGTCTTATATAAATAATTTACCAAGGCTGTCCTTTTTTGTGACCTTCATACAGAAAGAAAGTGGCATAAACCTGAGTGCTGAAGGATGAGGGTGTGGTGAAAACCAACCTAGCTCTCTCCAATTCTTCCCTTCTCCAGCATCTGATACCTCAGTGTCTTCAGCAGTGAGATCCTTCTGGGATTACAGGGACGAGGCTTTTGTTCCGGGTCTCGTGCAGCCTGGAACATGCCATCCTCATGGCAAAGCCTGTGAAGGCCATCTGTCATCCCAGTCTATACAGCAGAGCGCTCAGGAGCTGCACGCAACATCCCAGTGAGCAGCTAAAGCTGTGGCACGTGGCTGTGGCCTCCCGCCAGCCCCTTGTTCATTTGTTGCTTCAGATGTTGCTAGACTCTAGTGTTTTCGCAACTCCAATCCCCTGTGAGTCTAGTCCTGTCCCTTGTGATCTGTCCAAGTGACCTTGTGAGATGTGGCTGGGCTGGGCCATGCCTGTTCCTTACTCTAGGTCTTCCTCTGGAGTTGGTGAACAGCAGGAGTTGTGCTCTCCATTTCAGTCCTGTTCCCTGCTGGTGCTGGCCCTGGGTGGCTTTTTTCCCCAAGGTCTCTCCTTTCTCACGGTCCCTTGTTTGAGCTCTTTAATCTGCCTCTTCAGAAGGATAAGGAATGTGAGGGGGAGGGTAGATGAATGTCAGGGCAGCTTAGGTTCACCTAAATGACAAGCATCTCAGATCCCCCTCTGGCTCTGCCACAGAGACTTGGCAGCTGGTGCCTTTGTAGCACTGCTTCCACATCGGCGCGCTGGGCTTCCTTCCCACACCCCAGAGCACAGAGGTAGGTTAACCCCAGTTGCCCTAAGGTGATGTAACTTCCAGCCTGCACTCACTGCACTATCAGCCTGTTAAGCAGACTGGCGGTACCTCTTCCAGACAATGATAATTATCAGTCCCTGTATGGCCATCATGGCAACAGGTTGCTAAAAACACCAAAATGCTGTGCGAATGTCCTCTGTGAATCTGCTTCTCCTCCTTTGTATTTTTATCTCTCCCGTAAGATATTTATGGCTATGATAAGAGGCTTATCAAGCAAAACCGGGCATTCTTTCATGCCCTGGTGCCCCTAGGGCCACAGAGCATTCTTCTTGTCCTCTAGTGAACATGATGACAAAGGCCGCTTCCTGAGAAATGCCCTGCCTTGGTGTCATTCCCCAAGGGTTTCTTTGTTTCCCTATGCACCAGTGTCTACCTGTATCTCTATTAAACCCTTTTCAAAATTTTGGGTCTTGCTTGGACTTCTGGGCAGTAAATCTCTTTGTCACCAGTGGTATGCTCAGGGGAGCAGGGTCTTCCTAAAGTCTGGTTTAGCAGAAGTCTGCTTGTGTGCTTGAGGCTGTTTCACATTATAGAATCATAGAATCGTTATGGTT